TTGAGCTGGACCAGGCAAGGAGAGGAGGCCAAACTGGTCCTCTAACTGGGTAGGAGTAAACAGCTTCTGGCAGAGTAAGGGTCTGCTGGAAACAGTTTTGTAGCTGGCCCTAGTTTTTACAGATGTAATAACCAGGCAGAAGTGTTTGTTTCTATCACTCCTCTGGCCAAGAAGGCACAGATACTGCAAGGAAGGCATCCATGTCTTGTACTCCAATTATACTTTAGCCTGTGACTGTCGTAACTCAAAGTGATTATCAGTGCTAGGCATGGTCTGCTTGGAATGAATGGGTGGTCTCAGGACAGCTTTTTGTGGAGACAGGTCTTCCTCGGAGTTTGCAACCTTGTAGCACTCTAACAGCAAGATCAACACATAAAAGGGACATCAAGACTAAATCACTTTTGAAGGTAGTTTCTCAAGTTCAAGGTTAAAAGATCTCATGAGGAATGCTTGGGAAGGTTGGGTAGTCCTTTCTGCTGCACTCAGTGCATGAATGCCTAATGCTACTGACAGTCTTGCTTCTTTCATTTATGTGAAAAAAGCTTGCAGGAAAATACTACATCTTGGAATACTGATCTGATGTATATAATATTCCAATATTTTGGAATATTAATATCAAGGCCCAGCTTTGATATTACATGCTAGCATGTTACACGCACTAACTAGACAGCTTGTAATATGCATCCTAATATGCTATTCACCTCATCTAACATTTTGCTAATGATTTATTATGCAATAGCAATGTTCCATTTGGGGTTTCCTGGGGATGCATATCATGTGTTACAGGCCACACAATATGTTCACATAGCAAATTAATTGCTCCTAACACCTTAGTGCTTTGAAAACTTATTCGTGACTCTTGTCATCAAGAATAGCTATGTGTGTCCCCTCCTCCCTGTAATTAGGCAGAAAGCTAAAAATCTTACAAAGAGATGCACAACTAGAGCTTACATGATACCTCACAAGTATTATGTAACACAAAAAAAAAGGTTATTAACAAGCAACTCAAATGAACTCTAAACATGATACCATGGTAAACTGACCTTTGCAAAGCATTGCTACAAAGGGCCTCCAGCTTGCACTCTGACTGCATTTCTGTTTAAAATAGCCAGTGTATGCACGTGATTTGCACCATTCCCCCTTTGCAGTATCACAGCATCTCACACTGTTCCATGAATTTACGCTAACAGCCCCTCTCTCTATGAACGAATTGCTACTACCCCCTGTGGTGGAAATGGAATTGAGGCACAAAGAAAGATTTTTAAACCCCATGTAAATACTAAAAGCTGCATATAGGCACACAACTGGTTTTCTGCAGCTCAGTAAGCATCTTTCTGATCTGAAGCAGCTACATGCTCAGGTACTTTGGGCTTGATGTGGCCAGGCTCCAGCTGCTGTCTGGCCCTGCAGTACAGAGCAAGGCAGTGAGCTGGACATCCTGAACTCCAGCCAGTGTCCTCCAACCTAACTGATCTTCGTTTCCTTCTTTTTTTTTTCCCCCATAACAAGGTTCTTCTTTTACAACTATCTATCTATCTATCTATCTATCTATCTATCTATCTATCTATCTATCTATCTACCCTGTACCATGATTACAGCAGTGCATTTCAATATTACTATTACTTATCTGCAAACTTACTCCTTGTGAAGGCTTGCTTTAAATTCTAGTGTGGCTAACCCCAAAACTGCATTAGTAAATGTCTTAGAAAAGAAGTATACATGCTGTTATAAAACCATATTCTATTTTAAATAAGGGAATAAATGAATATCACTACTGTTGAAATTCTTTCCTCCCTTTTATTAAAATAGAACCCGGGAACACTGATTTAAGGCAGCATATCACAAGTAACACACTGGAAAGAAAACACTGAAAATCCCAAACATATGTAACATTGTGTTCCTGATGAGAAAGGATTATATGTATCAGCTGACCCTTCCACAAATCAGGATATATAACATCTTATGTATGCATTTGGAATAGAGCAATGTGACCTTAAAAAACATGATTTACAATTTTGAAAGAGTATGTTGCTAGCATTTGCCATGAAGCACTATCTGGGGACTAATACTAGTCCCCAGATGCACTTTGGCGTGCCATTTTCCTCATCCCACCTGCAGCCACAAGAAGTCAAGATTCCTTGGGATGTTCTTGCTTTGGAGATTTCGTCAGGTAGATCCTCTTACTGACACTTGAACCTAAGGTGACCTTGGACCATGTGGACATGCCAGAATTTCACAGGACTCATCTCTGTAGGTATTATGTAGTCTGAAGCCAAAATATCAGGGGAGTTTGTTGTCATATAAATGTAGACCTGTATTTTGCAATTAATACTTTAAGGGGGGGCTAGCTTTGTTACATGGTACAGCCCCTCTACCTGGTATATGGCAGGCAGCTGCCTGGATGCTAATGCTCTACTCAGCATATCCTGCCCTGATTATGTGACATACTAACAAGTAGGGATTAGATTAATGACCATCAATCTCTTTTCATAATAAAAGATAATAAATGAGAAAATGCATTTGTTCACACACTGTGAAAATAAAATACTTAATTAATCACCAAGATTATTAGGTATGTTTACCTCTCACTGTCCTGGCATCTGTGGCTACATTTCAATATTGGCCCATCCTATATGTGCTCACAGGCTGCTTTCCTTACTATTATTTAAATTAATAGATGATTTTAAGCGCCACTAGAGGGCACAGAATTATAACAATATTTCTTAGTGGGTCACAAAAAGTACACCAGGAACAGGAGTTCAGTAATTTTCATAGTCAGTGTCCAAATCCCTAGTTTAAATCCTTGATCCTAACAAGAGTGATGCATGCGTGCTGCTTCAAGCTGTGCCACTGTCTACCCATAGCAATTAAATGAAGCTTGGGCATGAGGGCTTGTGGGGTCCAACTGAAAGGGCTAGACCATGGTTCCAGCTTTCTGGAACTTGAGTACCAATCCTCAAATATTGTACCCAAGTGACTAAGGCCGGTAGAGTTTAAATCTCAGCGTGGATCCGGTGGCCCAGCTGATGTGAAAGGCATGCAACACATCCTGTAAATGAGTACATCGGGATGAGAAAAATGAAGAGTATAAACACTTGCATCTCAAACCAGGGAAATGCAAACAAGTAGTAAATGAAGGATTAACTAACTCAATTTACAATTCAAAGAAAGAGGAGTTGATATGTGCCACTGGAAAGCTTAAATATTAATGGGGTTGCTGTGGATACTTGTATCAACTACTTAACATCTGTTTTGACATGTGTGCTGTTTCTGCCATCCCTTAACACCAGCATGAGTGGCCTCTGCAGTTTCCATGTTAGAAAATTCTTGTTGGAAGCTGCCTGCAGCGGAGGAGGAAGTTCGGTGAAGAAAGGGAGAAGATTAAGCTCTTTGTTTAAAAACAACTAATTGAATGGCCCTAGAGACGCCATAGAAATAAATTACTACTGTTGATGTTTCCATGTCGCTTGAGTGGAGGCACAAATTAATGCTTACAGCCACAATGCGAGATGTACTTCACAGCGTACTTCGTTTCTGGAAGTTAGAAATGGTGTGTTTACCAAAGGCTTGAGAGCCTGGCCTCTTACTAGCCAGTACGAGGAAAACAAAATTTAAATTGAATTGCAGCTCTGAATGCCTCTATTGATTTTCGCAAAAATTAGCGTCTGCATTATTACTTTTCATTAACCCTTCACGAATTAGCGTCCAGTTTTCACATCGCTGTGCTCCAGCCGCAGAACCAGTGACACGCAGCTGTATCTCATGAAGTCGGTGCTGGAGTGCCCGGGTAGCCGCGGCTGCCGAGGCATCCCCAGAACCGGGCAGCGTCACCAGCAGCAGGCAGCGGCGGGGCTCAGGAGGGGAGGTGGTGAGGGTGTCCGGGGGTGCCATAAGCATTGCCACCGGCAACAAGAGGCGGCCGTAAGATGCGCGGGTGCCGCCGGCTCCAGGCGGGGAGGCGCGGAGTGGCCGCGCCTGCGGCGTGGTGGGGTGGATGCCTTTTTTTTTTTTTTCCGCAAGCTCACCTTGATGCAGCCGAGTTAAAGGCCCGCTCTCGGCAGGGGGAGCTTTGTTTTCTCGGCGTTCCTCCGGCACCGAGCTGCGGCACCGCTGCACTCCGGCCGCACAGCGCCAAAGCTGCCAGGGACCAGCGGGCAGCCCTCAGGGGGGACAGCCCCCTCTCGCCATCGCGCGGGGCCAGGGCACGGCGAAAGCGCCGGAGCTGCTTGTCGGGCTGCGCCGCCCCCTCGGGGGACACCCAGCGGCTCGCCTGCGTTGCCCCGCCCGGACGGCCACGCTCCCTGCCCGAAGCGGGGTCCCGCCGCCGGCAGAGCCTCCGCGGCGCCACCGCCTCCGAGGCTTACGGCAGTTTTGTTACTTTCTCGGACTTAAATGGACATTTCCCGGGAGCACGCGTAGCCCACGGGCGCCGCGTCCCGCCGCCCGCTTGCCGCCCAGCCGCGGGCACCGCCGCTGCCTTTGCCGCTTGCGTCCCGGGACGCGAAGGAGCCCGGCAGCGCGAAGCCCGCCTGCCCCCGCCTGCCCGCCTTTCTTGCAGACTTTTTCAGCCGCTTAGAGCGAGAGCAACAGCTTGCCCGGCCCAGGCGGGCCGAGGGACGCGGGAGGCAGAAGGACGAGGGAGGCGAGAGGCACCACCGAGCAGCGGCCCGCTGCCCCCCTCGCCCCCGCGGCCTCTCCGCCAGCGTTGCGCGGAGCTGCCCCTTCTTCCCTCCGCCCAGTCCCCGGCCGCGGAACCACGCCGGGCGGCGCTGCGGGGGCCGGCGGCGGGGCGCCGCCGCCCGGGAGGAGAGTGCGCCCGGGGGGGCGCCCGCTCCCTCGCCGGGGCCCCCGCGAAGCTGCCGCAGGCCGGCCCGCCGCGCCGAGCGCCCAAAGTGGCCCGCGCCCCCTCGCCCCGCGGGCGCCGCCCGGAGACCCTCGCCCCCCGCTGCCTCCTGCGGCCCGCCGCCGCGGAGTGCCTGGCCGCCGCCGCCCGCGCCCTGCTCCGCTGCGGCCCCGGCTCCCGGGGTGATGCCATGCCCCGCAACCACGGCGGCGGGGAGGAGGGCAGCTCCGCGGGGCTCTGGGTGAAGAGCGAAGCGGCGGCGGGCATGAAGGATGTGGAGTCGGGCCGGGGCAGGGCGCTGGCGAGCGCGGCGGCCCGCGGCGACGGCCTGCTGCTCCTGGGCACCGGTGGCGCGGCCGCCCCCGCCGGGCTGCGGGAGGGCCGCCGCGGGAAGCACGGCGCCCGCATGAGCCTACTGGGGAAGCCGCTGTCGTACAGCAGCGGGCCGAGCTGCCGCCGGAACGCCAAGTACCGCCGCCTGCAGAACTACCTGTACAACGTGCTGGAGCGGCCCCGCGGCTGGGCCTTCGTCTACCACGCTTTCGTGTGAGTACCGACCCGCTCCCTTCTCCCTCCCGTCCCGTCCGTCCTCGGGACCGCTGGCCGCACCTGCCCCGGACAGAGCCGCACCGCGGGGCGCGCACCTTCCCTCTTCCTCCTCCACTCCCCGGGCATCGCTCCGCTGCCGGCGGCTGGTCCACGGGGAGGACAAGTAGCCCCGAAAGTGCCCGGGAGGCATCAGCGGAGGCGGGGGAGCAGCTGCCACCTGCGGCGCGGCGCTCCGCGGCCGGCGAAACTTCCGCGCAGCCCGCGGTGAGAGGTGATGGGGGGGGGAGGCTGGGGTCACCCGGCAGAAAGAGCCGGAGGAGAGTACTGCGAGGACCACATGCTCGCTTCCTTCCCGGGCGCTTGAGGCCGCCGGCTTGCGCGGGAAGCTGTGCCGCGCTCCCCAGGCGGCCCCGAGGTTAGACGTGGCGAGGGGTACTGGCGCTGCCGGGGCCCTTCCCCGTGGCGGCGGGGCGCGGTGTGTACAGCGGGGGCTCCGCGGAGTGCGGTTTGCTCCGCGGTCACCGGGCACTGCGCGGTTTTCAAAGTTGGAGGCGCGGGGCGCGTCGTCGCCTCCCGCGTGTTTTGCTTCCCACGCGTGTCCTCGCCGCGGGGTGCTGCGAGCCAGGGCGACCACCCGCGGCTCCCAGAGCCGGTGGCCCGGCCAGCCGCCCGGGGAAGGGCTCAGTACCCAGCCTGGGCACAGCCAGCCAGCTCGCCGGCATCTGTCATTCCTGTTCGCTTTTTCTCTTCGCAAGTGAATCCTCCCGTCGCCCTCAGTCTGAAAGAGCCAGCGACTAAAATAAGCGTCCCGTCGCTTCACTATGTGGGGAGCGGTACAGTCAGCGCTCTGCCAAACCCGGGCTGCTTTAGTTAAAGAAGCGCCTGGGAGAGCTGTGCGAGGGGCACCCGAGTCTGCTTAAAGTATACCTATAGTCGGTGGTGTGCCTTAGTTCATTAGCAGGCCCCTCTTTTTACGGGTTTTGGTAATATTCGAGGGAAAGGCCCGACTCAAAAGCCTTTTGGGTGGCCGAGCAATACATGCAATGCAGTCTGGCAAGGAGTTGTTGCGTGGATCATAGCTCTAGATAAAAACGTTGTGATAAATTACAGAGGAAGGGTGACAGGCATTACTGTATTGGGCGTATAACACAAGGCATTTCTCTGACTACAGAAAATGTGTCATAAATAAATCAGTGCATTTAATTTATGTGCTATAGGTAACTGTATTTCCATGATAGTTGCAAGGACCAAGCTAGCAATTACAGCTGCTTTGGTAAAAAGGCAACTGCTCCCTGTTCTGTAGCATGAAGAGTGCTCCTTCTCCAGCAGCAGGGGAACCCCCAGATCCTACTTTAGTAGAAATTTTTATAAGTGAAAAAATATTTTGCCAAAAACATGGCAGTCTGATTATATACTTTGTGGATAGGTGCATTTAGTAGATCAAAATGGCTATAGATAACAAGCAATAGAAACATACTTAATATTGTATTTTTTTTTTGAGGAAAAAGGTCTTTGTCCACTGAAGATTGCCTATTTTCTGTTTTACTGAGAAAATCAACTATTACAGCTTGAACTTTCTTCTTGGAAGGCGCTTATTTGGTATATTTTGCTGTTTGGGTTCTTACAGGTGGTATCCTGCGGCATAGATGGATTTAAATGAATGCTGTGAGAATCACCGAAGTATTTACTGGGAATTATCTTACTGCAGTGTCTGAAGTTGCTGCACAGAATCTGTAAATTGTAGTTTTGGAGCTTTCTCTTTGAGATTATGATGAAAATCATTAAAACAAGCAAAGTTCAAGTGGGAAGTAAGGTTGACAAGTTTAAACCTCAAAAGAAGAGTAAATTTCCAAACAGAGTGAAGTCATGACACAGCAGCGCTGTAAACAAGGAAGATTGCCAGCTGCGTTTAGATAATTGCCTGCATAGAAAGAGTGCCAGTTTTAATTTTTAATTGCAAATGGCAATTCTGGCAGCTGCAAATGCCAACATTATATCTTTTATCTGAGCAGATCTGTGTGAAAGAGCTTGAAACTACTGTAATGTAGAGACACCTAGTAATAATATTACCTGTAAGGATCTGTCACTGCTACAGAGTTGAAGGTACATTTAAAGTTCCATTGGATTTCAATTTGACAGCCATCCTCATTGCCATTCTATAAATTATCTTAATGTTTTTATGTAACTCTGATTTAATGACTACCAGATACTCAGATAGTACTTTTGGTGCTTCAGGCTCAGGTTTTTTTTTTCCAGCCACCCGATCAAATGAAATTGCATCTTGGAAAAAATGTTTTGTTACAGAATTAAAAAGAAAACAAAACACAAAAGCATCAACTATTTTTTATAAATAAGTAATCATAAAAAAAAGTCTTGGGACAAGTAGCTTAGAATTGCGAAGACATTACTAGGTCCATAGATGAGATGTCTGCTCCTACCTCTGATGAGCTATTCTTGACTGCAGCAGAGCCCATTACAGCACCATAGTATTTTGGTGACAGGACTGGGCTGTCTGCGGTGAGACTTTTTGTGAAGATCATTGGTCTCCAGAAATGAAGCTGACTCTGATAACATGGGTTGAAGCAATGCAAGGGTGGTTTCAGAGTTTAAGTTTAAAGTCTTTGATCTAGAAGTTTATTTAGTTTTGTCTGTTGGTTTTGAAATAAGAGGTGGGCAGTTAAGCATTAGTTACAAGTAAAAAACCATCCCTGCAGTAATGTTTTCATTCCTCATTTCCATAGTAAAAAGCACTTTTAAAGCTCAGAATTATGCACAGTTCACTTTCTTTTTCTTTTTGCCCTTTCAAATAAGAGAAAAACCTGCCAACCACCTGAGAAGCAAGTGTTGTGACTGACATTGAGAAGTCAATTGGTTAGTTTATTTGTAAACATGAACTTGCCAAATGCTGGAAAACACAGCTGTTCTGCAAACTTCTGCTACTAGAGGAAGAATTTACTCTTGAGCAAGGGCCTTTGACTTCAGTATGGTTATGTTGGGGAGTAGAGCCGTAAATCACATATTCTTGGCTCCTTTTTGTGTACCTCAGTAGCTCTTTACGTGGAAGCCCTAGTTATATATGTAAGATCTTTCTGCAAGTTTTTGGAGAAGTGCTTTTCATATACCTCAGTCTTCTGTTCTTGATCATTCAGGAACACCGAAAATATGAATGCTTATAAAATCAGAAAAGAACATTCATACCATTTGTGAGTCATGAGTCAGTAACTTAAACTCCTGCTAGTAAAATATTTATGCCACACCACGTCACCTACACATGGAGCATGTGCATATTTAACACGCGTGTGCCTACATTAAATTATGCGATATTGTAACTTTTCAAAAGGGTTGTCTTGGGACGTCATAGGATTTCTTTCCGTTGTAGCTGTTTATTTAGATTATTTTTGGTTGTTTGGTTTGATATAAATGTGTAGACATTGCCTTAGAATGATCAAAGGAGAATACCAGATTTGTTGCAAATTTAACTCTGGGTTTCATCTTCAGTTGCCATAAGGGTTTTGTATTATTTTTACTCTTAATTGACATGCTGAAAAAGACATGGCATGAGACTTTCAGAAAAAAATACTGCTCTTTGATACTGTTTATACTGGTTGGATATAATTAGTTGCATAAGTTTCCTAATTTAACGTGTTGGATTTATTTCAGGAATAATAAAGTTTCTGTTTCTTACTGGCTTCTTTGTAATATATTCCATGTATAAGTCTGTACCATTTTTTGTGGAGATGGTCTTCTCTTTACAAAGCCACCACCTTTTGTTCTGGATACTTCTGAATCACAAATTGCAGGGCTGGATGTGTGCACGAGGGCTGTATCACTTTGCGTTACCTGTATTGATAGGTTTCCATGGGCATCCTCTGTTGCTGCTGCTGGAGATAAGATACAGTGCTAGATGAATTTAAGAGCCTGTGTGATGTTCTTCTTGTCTTTTGCATTATTGATGGAAAAAGGCTGAAAAAATTATTTCTGGGGGAAAAAAAAATCTAATGATGCCATCAGAGATTTAACTAGCTATTTTAGTTTTCCAGATCTGCCGGAAAGGACATAGCTTACTAATGATCAGATGGCTATTGAGCAGCAGCATCTTTGCATGTGAGCTAACAGCATCATACTGTGCCATTTGTATAATTAGGGAGGTTCCACATTGTGATTTAAAAGCCAGTAGTGTGCAACAGTCTAAGTACTTGCTGTTTTCCTATTTTCAGAAAGTAGGAGAAATTATTTTCTCTCTTTATTTTATCCATCTTCGGCCATCTAATGAACTAGCTCCGGGTGCTCTGTGGGTAGATCTATGACTTTCATCTTTTCAAGCACTGTTTCAGAGTCTGGGTCTGACGTTGTTAGGATAACATTATCTTTTTACATGCTTTAAGAAACAACAGCATGATGCTAACAAATAACAAGGTTGACAAATAATGTGGCAAAGCAGATCTCATTAGGTACTAAACTTTTGTATGGAGTGACAGTGAGTGATGGTGGATACTTAGATGCACTTCAGTATAAATTGGCGGCATTTTGCCACATCTGAGGCAGTCTGTGATTCTGCATGTCTGCATAGTAATCACTTAAATGTTGCTTGAAGAGACCTTTAGAAATTGTCCATTATAACTGGAAGACACACTCTTCCCAGTTGTGTCAGCCAGGCTTTGTCTAGACAGGCCTTAAACTTCACTGGATGGAGGTCCAACCACCTTGCTGAGTAACATGCAGGTCTGCAACACCCAGCTGATAAAAGCAGGTTTGGCATGGGGAGGGAGGAATGGAAGAGCCAACTTGAACCTCCCAAGTGGCAGTTTATGGTCATTCCCGCTTTATGTATTATCTGGCACTAGCAAGAAGAATTTGGCTTCTCTGCTCTTGTTATTTTTCTTTAAGTAACTGTAGGCTGCTACTATGTCACCTGTTAGATCACCCTCTTGCCAGACTGAACAAGCTCAGCTCCCTTAGCTTCTCTGCGTAAACACGACATTCTCCTGCATCTCTTC